AAATAACCTTTATTATTTCAAAATTGCGTAAAAGATATTACAAATCATACAACAATAATTAGCAATTTAGAATGTTAAAAGACATAAAAAATTTTTTACCATAGTTAACAATAATTAAAAGTTTAAATTATTTTAAATTAATATTAAAGTTTGATTAACTTTTTAATTTTGTCTTTGTCACATAAATTGAAACAAAAAATGATACATATTGGGCCCGTGCTAGCACGGGCTCCGATGTCTATATATATATATGATATATGATGATATGGCATATGATATATAATATATGATGATTAGCATGTCTTATTTCTATAGAAAATTTTAATACATTTTAAATAGTACAAAGTAGTTTTATACTTCAAAAAAAAAAGATCTCATTACCATCATCTAATTCAAAAGGTTTGTTAGAAAAAGAAAGTAAAAGGAGAAGACAAACCTATGAGGAAGAAAGCCTTTTTACCGTTTAATTCCACGTTGCATCAGACCTCGTGCCTTATATAGGGTTACAACTTAACAAATAAAGTTAAAAAATAGAAACTAAAAAGTAGTGGTAAAATACGGGTAAAACATTGAAAATATGCCACACGAATATAGCTAAAATAGTAAACATGAAATACATAAATTGACTAAGTGGTTGTTTGGTAGAGTGAATTAGCAAAAATAATGTAAATATTAGCTCTGTATATTAATTGTTTTTTATTTGGTACTCTTTTTCAGGCAATGTATAACTAATATTTGTATTAGTTATATACTCTATTGTCTATTGAGGATTGTATTACTAATAATATCATGAATATCTATATATTGATTTATATTTTTTCAAATTACTATATTTAAATTGAATCGATCATAAAAACTAAAAGTATGAAATTTCTACAAACATCGTGAAATGCATATTTGATAAAAAGATTAATATATAAATAAAATGTCATAAATTATTAAAATATTTGACAAAAAAAAATCTATAAAGTCTAATTAAAACATGACTTGCAATGTGAATTCAATATTACTAAAACAAATGAAACTGAAAATATAACATAAAATATAAATTCAGAACAAAAAATTTAACATAATACTCTTATCACAAATTTCAACATAACATACATAAATATAATTATTTTTTTTTTTTTTAAAAAGAAAACGTAAGTCTATAACATTACTTAACAATAAATTCTATTTTAATTTAAAAATTAGAATACTAATAAAATTATGCTAATGAGAAAATAAGCATGGAATAAAGAAATAGATAATACGAAAAAATTACATAAAATCACGTGAGGTAAGATTGAGAATGAGAAGAAAATGAAATATAATAATAAAAAATAAAAAATAAACTTTTAGAATAATAATAAAAACTTAAAATAATAGAAATAAAAAAAAACAAAATAAAAAATAGAAATAAAAAGAAGAATTTAAAAAGTAATCAGCTGGTAAACAATTCAAGCCTCTCCCTGTGAATTGGAGAGCATAATTAGCCCAGCTAATTACACCAATTATTTGCTGACCAAGTAATTATATGTTCAACCAAATATGACCAACGATGTAATTACATCAAATCTAATTACCAGGGTATCCTTTCAAACAGGCACTATAGGACATTTTGGTACATTTGACATAATTTTAATTTAGAACTATAAGATTAAAAAGTTTTTTTTAAAAAAATAAAATTTCGTTTCAAGTCAAACTAAACAATTCTTTTTGAGATGGAAGAAGTATAATTTAATTGTGTTTACAAAAGTCTAGCAAGTGGTTGATTAACAGCAAGGTTTTGAAACAAGAAAATAATTCAAATAGACGTGGCATGATTTTGGTGGCTGACAAAAAGATGAAGTTCAGCTATTGACCCTGACGAACTAGAGTGTGTGATTCGGCTATTGATCAAATATGTGAGTTATACTAAACAAACATATTAATCTTGAGTTTTTTCCAATATCCAGAACTGATTTTGTTCGATTTCAGTTGAATTTTGAAGATTTTTTTTTGTTTTTTTTTTTGTGTTAGGGCATACAAAGAAGTTGCAATAGAAGCAATAGAACATGCTCTAAAGGCCCTAAGAAATCGGCATTTAGTGGAAGAAGGGGATTATGCCCCTATTTTGGCTGCTTTCAATAGGTCTCCCATTTTGCAGGTGCTCTTCTATTCTCCATAGTCAACTTTTTTTTTTTTTACTTTTCGAGTTCGTAATTTGGTTGATTTAGTTTTTTCTGTGCGTTGAAAGTAGCAGGTTCGAGTCAATTCCCTAAATGGTCATCCAAGTTTAGGGAATTGCCTTGAAATATCATTTATGTTTCATTTAGGACCAAAATATCACTCAATTATCACTATTTTCCTCCAAATATACTTGACACTTCAAAAATTTCACTCTCTCCTAGTTGGCATGACATGCCATTAAAGATTTTTTTAATAATAGACTATTTAATTCATTAAACCATTTAACTAAAATAATGATCATATTATTGTTTAAAATATATTAGTTATTAAGAATAAATTTTCATACTTAAGAATCTTTTATCATAATTAAGCTTTTTTTTTTTTTTTTTTATGTTATGAAGATAGGTTTTTAAAACGTACTATAATATCATCAATTTTGAATATTTATAAACACATAGGTTTTTAAAACGTACTATAATATCATCAATTTTGAGTACTTATAAACACATATATTCAAAAAAATATTGATATACAAATCACTCATGAATGCTAACTTACATCAATTAATCATAAATTGTATAATGAATCAATAATATTAAAGGTCAATTAACTATTACAATAATATTAATTGTGTGTTTTGAAATTCATACTTACAATATATTTTTTCCGAAAAAATAAAAATTGAATAATATTATATTTTTATCCAAAAAAAATAATACTAAATACCTAAAAAGCTCCTTCTATTCTAGTTGATATGTCATGTCATTAAATCATCCTTTAAAAAATAATAGACCTATTTAATTCATATGTCTCTACAAAACAAATACATAAATTACATAAGAATTTATGAAGATTATAAAAAAAATCTAATTCCTTTATATATTTTTACCAAACAAAATTCAATGAAAAAATCTCTGTGCGCAATTATTACCTGGTAATTTTTAAAAAATTTAAGTAAAATATTTGAAAATTTTAAGCAATTTTTTCATAAAAGTATTCAAATAACATTACCTGATAATTTTCAAAATTTCTAAGTAAATTATTTGAAAATTTTAAGCATTTTTTTCATAAAAGTATTCAAATAAATTTGTAAGGTTGACAAAAAAAAGTTGGTAAGAAAGAGAAAATTATTATTTTAACTTTTTTAAATTTATTTTTTATTTTTATTCTTTTATTCTTTTATTCTATATTATATTATATTTTATTTTAACTTCTCATACAATTAAACACCAATATATATTCTTATCTCATCCCAAATTCATGAAAGTTTCAAAAAGCTATTCTTCATAGCATAAAAAAATAAAAAAATTAATTATGATAAAAACTTCTTAAGTATGAAAATTTCTTCTTAATAAACTAATATATATTTTTTAGAAAATAATAAGATCATTATATTAGTTAAATGGTTTAATGAATTAAATTAGCCTATTACTAAAAAAAAAGACTTTAATGACATGTCATGCCAACTAGGAGAGAGTGGGACTTTTGAAGTGTCAAGTATATTTGGAGGAAAATAGTGAGAGTTGAGTGATATTTTGGTCATAAATGAAACATAAATGACATTTCAAGGAAATTTCCTAAACTTGGGTGACCATTTAGGGAATTGACTCTAGCAGGTTCAGATGAACCTGGTGACCGTACGCCACATATATCCGCTTCTGACTGTGTCGGTCAGGGCGGATCTACATGGATCCGAACCCCCTTCGTTGGAAAAATTACACGGTATATATATGATTAATTTTTTGATTTATACGTATATACCAATTGATGAACCCCTTGAACATAAGCTAGGGGCTTGGTTTAGTGGTAAAGGGAATTCAAGAATTCGCAAGGTAAGTGCTGAGTCGCGGGTTCGAGTAACAACGTTTTTTCCCCATATTTCAACTGATTTTCATTTTTATTTTCTAAATCAATGAAAAATCTGTTTTGTTTGAAAACCTATTGGGATTTATACTATTTTATTAGATATTAAAAAATAAATTTATTTTCTATTTTTATAAAATAAGTAAAACTTATAACGTTTTTTAAGTTTTCATAATTAAAATTAAAATACATTCTCTCATACTCATTTTAAGTCAAATGTTTAATTTATATTTGATTAAGGAATAATATGATTATAAGTAAGATTAAATAAATAAGAGTAATCATTTAAAATTTATAATAAATACGATTGGCAAAGCGAAGCCCGGTATTTAAGTGGAGAAGGGTAGAGGGGCAGGCCCATTATCTACCGAGTTTAGAAGGCTGTGATTGGTCCAAAGGGCGGGTCACAGACGGATTTCTCGGTTATCAAAAATAAAATACAATAAATAAATACGATTGTCGCGACATTTTTCAATCTTGATAATTATTGCGAATTTTATTGCTACAATATGATCGGATTTAGAAGTATTCCTTAGTTAGTTTTGAAAATTGAATAACGTTTATATACAACAATGACAAAGACAAGACCCATAATTATAGTTTTAAAAAATACATTCTCTCATACTTATTGTAATGTTATGTCAAACACTAGTCTCAAGGAACGTGCGTTGCACGTTTGTCCCTTATCATTTTTATATAATTTTGTTTATTAAAAAAGTTCAACTATAATATAGAAAATGTTGAAAATCAACAATATTAATTACCTTTTATATTTTATTCATTAAATAATAAAACACACAAAAGTGAGACATTGCATTTTCCATCAAACAATAAATATATGAAGTTAGTTAAGATAATATAGTATCTAATGGTATGAATATGTCGATGAATTTCCTACTTGAAAAAATAATAAATACATGTAAAAGCCTTTGATGAAATTAGCAAAAACATGATAAAGAAATAAATATAATTTTGTAAACCCTGCAAATAAAGCACAATAAATATATATTTATCTTAGCCCCAAACATTCAAAGGTAGGAAAACTTATTTAAATTTTGAATATTAACGTATATCAAATTTGATTTAATTCTAGTAATTGATGAAATAACAAATATAAAAATATTTTTCAAAATTTGAGCTTAATAAATTACATTTCTCTTTTAATAATACTATTATTTTAAATGAAAAAAAGAAAGATTTTGATGAACAATAATCTCGCTGGTCAATAATTTCCAATACCACGTTGGCCATACATATATCATTTTTTTTGGTTTCCCACACGGTATCCGGAGCTCACATTGGAGTTTCGACTAAATTCGGATCGCGCTCTACAGGGCTCATTCGGCGCTCCCAACAGGATTTTCTTCATAACCAGGGCTTGAACCTGAAACCTCTAGTTAAGGGTGAAACACTCTCACCAGTACACCACAACCCATATTGGTACATATATCATTTTTTGACAAGTACCTAAAATGGCTGGAAGATAGGGAAAAGATCACTTATTATATACTTTATACAATATTGTAACGTAAAGAATAGGAAAGGTTGTGGGAGAAAATTATTAATGCAGAAAAATATTAACATTAATCAACAATAAATAAGGAAATTATATTTAGAAACGTTTTGGATTGTAATTAAGGAGATTATGAATCCATGTTCAACCTTAATATATTGAATTTAGAGTGAAGCATTAAAGTGTTGTTGGAATGAGTTTAGCGGACAGAAGTTAAGAGGACCAACAATTATAGCTCATTAAGATATATAAAATGGCAAGTTAAGATGGAAAGTTGAGGAGTGAGGTTCAAAATGATTTTGGAAAATGCTTTCCTAATTTTTTTGTTTTTTTAAGAGATGTCATTTTTTCCTTAAATTTGAGGAAAAGAAGTTGATTTGAAAAATATTTTCCAAAACATTTACGCCAACCAAACATGAGAAAATTGAAAAACCTTTTCCTTCGTACCAAAGACACCCTTAGTGACCATTGATATTTATGTAAAGAGAGAAAAGAAGATAGAGAAACTCTTGTTGAGTTGAGTGATTAACGACATACATGAGAGTTCTTTGTATATGAGTTGGAGCAAATAAATAAGACAGCTTCCCTAGTTCTTCTGATTCTTAATAATTGTAAGATAACGAAAAATCTCTATGTAATGTTGTTAATGGTTTTCTTGACTTTTAATATGTTCCCTCAAAGAATCTAATCCAGTCATGAGACAAACTGATTTTGCACTGACTGACTTGGCAATGGCACAATTGCACATACATCAGAAATGACTGGAATTGAGGTGCATGCTACCAGGTTGATGACAAAGACTATCATGCTGTCAGCATAACCAGATCGTGTTCAATTCATAGTGCTGACTAAATGATATGACATTGATTGGGCAAATGTGAGCCATTAATTTGACAGCATAAACTGCTAGCTTGAAACCTCAGCAACATGAACGGAGGACTTCAGGGCCACGGTTTCACCTTTTCATTCATCTTAACTAGATTAAGCTCTGGAAGATAGAACTTGATACCAAGTGAAACAAGAAAAAGAAAAAACTGTTGTTAATTGGTGTGATACAACATATAAGAGGATTCTATATGTAGGAGCTTTGAGCTAATCAAATAAGGAAAGTTTTCTAAATCTTTGTGTTCCGTTTGTTAGGACATGATAGTGGAAAATGTTTTACCGAGTATTCTTGTCAACTCTCTTTACTTTCAACAAAAACGTAATTGTAAGAATGTTTTGTGATATATTTAATATTTCTCTTGGCTTTTAAGCAGTTCATATTTTGTAGTTTTTTCCAGGTAGTGAGTCACTTGGCATGCATGATGTAGAGTTTACTTATTGCCAATAATATCGTGCTTAAGGAATGAGATGCAGGTTAAACTGACCAACTGCAGCTTTCTACATAGAAATTTTAATTACCGGTGAATGTGGAATTGTTTGCACTCAGTCACTTCTCTTCTAACTATGCGTTGCTGAGAAAGTTATCCGTGTGCTTATGTAGTTCCTGTGATTTTAGGGTTCAGAGTGGAAAGAGAAAGCTGAAAATCTTGAAGAGGAACTTCAACAGTGTTACAAAGCTCGAGCACGACTGTCAGAGGTGCTTGTGGACGAAATAACTGAATCCAGAGCATTAAAATCTTTAGTTCAAGAGAAGGAAACTCTCATTACTGACCTTCAGAATGAGCTAAATTCAGCAAGGTGCTATTCTCATCCTCCTAAAACATTTGCTGTCCTAAATTACACTCTTCCCTTTGCGAAAAAAAGAAAGCACATGAAAAGTAATAGAAGGACAGAAATAGAGGAATACACTAGGATTGCTTAGAATTATGATCCTTACCAAAAGGTGATTCTGTTTCAAGCTTCTGAATGAACTATCATGTTTAAGATTATAAAATAGTATCTTAGTTTCCCAATTTAACAAATAAAGTTTACTTTGGATGTCCTAAGATGAGCTCAACTGTTTTACTTTGGTTGCCAGGATGGAGTTTAACTGCTCAATTCTTTCATTGATGAGTGTGCAGGGATGAATGTTCACGTTTAACTGAACTTCTTGAGGGAAAGAGTAAATCTTTGGACTTGATTATGTCCAAGCATCAGGAGCTTCAGGCACAACGTGAAGCAGTTACTCGGAGAGCAGAAACTAAAATATTGGTTGACCGATGGTGGCTGCAGAAGATGCAGGATGCTGAGCGCCTTAACGAGGTATTGAGTAATTCTTGCTGTTTATCCTTTTGTGTGCTTTGCTATTTGTGGTTCTTTAACATTTTGAACCTCTGACTTTTCATACAAATTGAGTGTTCATCACGCTTCGTTACTGTTAGAGAGCTAAGATGCATATTTCTGTTGCAGTAATAAACTGTACTTTAATTAATAATGTATCACCAATTCAAGAAGCCTTATTTTGGCTTCTCGTCATGGAGATTTCTCTACACTTAATATAACCCTCAACCTGTTCAGTTGTTCTTATATCCTTCAACTACTGTCCCTGTTACCCATCCATGTGGCACATTCTTTCTTTTATGATGGTGGTGTTTGTGCCGGCTTGTGTATACCTCGACTACTCCACTAGTATCTGGTACCTCCCACCAGCATAGGTACCGAATAACTCTATCCATCAAGGCTTAGGTAGATGGGAGAAATAATCTAGAGTGTATATCACTACTGGGATTTGGAACTCCATGCGGTTTTCACTCACTTCATTGACCACTAGGTGACACTCTTGGATGCTATCCATGTGGCATACTCTATCCATTTTAAGACTTCAATGATGAAGAACTACTACTACCAAGAAGGGGAAAAATGAAAAATAAAATGATAAAGAACTATGCTAATATTTTAAGTATAATCTAGCCTTAGGTTTTGGACAGATGAATGACATAAAGCCACCATAAGATAAAGGAGTATCATATCTTATGAGTGCTCAAATATTAACAACTTGTGGTTCTCCAAATATTTGGGTAAGAAAGCGCACATACTGAAACTCCAGATGCTCGACATTTTACTTTCCGTCATGCTGGAGTGGCTGGTGGTGATCGGTGTAGGATTTTATTACTGGGGTATCTCCAATATCTTCGTCTCATAATAACTATTTCATGTCAGTATAATGCAAAATTTCTGAGATGTGGAAATGAACTGTTAGTAAGGGTTATTATTGGTTTGTCAACATGTATTTATTCAATGAATGGTAGATGGCATCTTTTGCCTTTTTATTAACAGGACTTAGTGACTGTTTGGTAGTAGTTCTCCATGCTAAAACTTTTAATCATGTTGTTCTGCCACCAAAACGAGGAGGCGAGCTCCATCTCTTAACAAGTTATTCTACAGCAAATCTACCCTGTAATCTGAACAAAATTCAAATCTTTGACAAGTTTGGCTAATCCAAAGGAACTGCCAATGATCATTTATTCAATTCTCCTAATAGAATAATAGGGTTAGGGGCACTATATTTTCAGTCAGTATTTTTTATATGTTTTACAATGATAGGTTCTCTTGCATTTTCTTATTTGTTATTTTTTGTGTTGCTAGTCTAATGCTCTCTATGAAAATATGCTTGATAAGTTCAAGATCGCCAGTATAAAGAAACTTCCTCGTCCACAAGTGGACGGTGTTGTCCCCCAAAGTGAAGATGCTGCAGAAGCTTACTTTGACTCTTCCATTCCCAGTACATGCTGGCAAAGGATCCCCGCCCATGATGGTGGATGTGCCTCGATTCTTTTTGATTATAAGTCCAGTAAATTGATAAGCGGTGGGGAGGATCGGGAAGTTAAAATTTGGGATACTAGAAGTGGATCATTAAGTAACATTCTTTATGGTTGTCTGGGTTCGGTCCTTGATCTTTCCATTACACAAGATAACAAATTCATCATAGCAGCAAGTAGTTCAAATGACTTGTATGTGTGGAATGCAAATTCAGGCAGGATACGCCATATTCTTACTGGGCACAGCAACAAGGTTTGTGCAGTTGATGTGAGCAGATCTTCAAATCGCTATGTGGGGAGTGCTGCTTATGATCGCACAATAAAAGTTTGGGATCTGCAGAAGGGTTACTGTAACAACACTATCATATTTCACAGTAACTGTAACAGCCTTTCGTTAAGCACGGATGGACTGACTCTCTATTCCGGTCATGTTAATGGTAATCTTAGATTATGGGATGTTCAAACAGGCAAGCTTCTGAGTGAAGTTGCTGCACATTCAAAGGCTGTTACATCAGTTTCACTCTCTCAATATGGAAACATGATATTAACCAGTGGGAGAGATAACTTGCACAATCTATTCGATATACGCACCCTTGAAATTTGTGGCACTTTCAGATCAAATGCAAATCGAGTTGCATCTGATTGGAGCCGATCCTGTATTAGTGCCGATGACGGTTATGTTACTGCAGGTTCTGTAGATGGATCTGTTCATATTTGGTCAGTATCAAACGGTAAAATGGTAAGAACATTGAAAGAACACACATCCTCTGTACTTAGTTGTTCATGGGGTGGTTTTGGTAATCCTTTGGCAACCTCAGATAAGAGTGGAACCATATGTATTTGGTCATGATATCAGTTCAAAGATTGCTCAGTAATTGAGATTTCAGTGAGGATCACGAGTGTCATTGTTGATATTAGTTTTCTTAAAGCACAAAGTTGGTCATCATAGTGATTGTGAAGCCATAAATGAGCATCGTCCATATATAAACATCATGCCAAAAGGGGCTGACATTGTAATATTAAGCTTTTAAGCTGATTTTTTTAGATATCTTTTGTTGATATTTGATTGGATTGTGGATATATTAACTGTTAGTTTTTTGTGGAAAAATAAAGCGGTCTTTCGTGGTGATAATTTTCATGTGTGTGTGTATATTCGTGCTCACAAGTTTGGGTCTTGAATAATCAAATATTCTCTCTATCCCAAAATAAATTTTTTTAAAAATTATCTCAAAATAAGTGTCGCATTAAGAAATCAAGACTATAAGGGGTTGTTTGGCTAGGAACAAGTTATTTTAGGGTTAATTATCTTGGAATAAGTTATCCCACTAGGTATACGGAATAATTTATCTGATACAAATGGTGGGATACTTTTAAGTAGCACTCTCTCTGTCCATTTTTACTTGTGCACTATACTAAAAATAGTTGTCCAATTTAGAAAACTAAGAAATAATTTATCATTTTATATCTATTCTACCCTTAATATTAAATATTATTCAATATCTAATATATTTTTCAAAGTATCAAATTTAATATATTTAATGGGTAATATAATAATATTATCTAATTAATTAATGGGTCAAATATGATCTCACTGGGAACAAAATTGGTTAGATCGGTATAAAACGGGGCACACAACCCGGCCCGACCAAAAAACCAAGGTCAGCTGCTATAGGAAAAATGAATTCATAATTAGCTCCTTACGAATCTGAATTTCGCAAATTGGGTGTGTGATTCGGCAAATTGATCAAATATGTAAGTTGTAAACATATTAATCTTAAGGTTTTTTCAATATCCAAAACTGATTTTGTTCGATTTCATTTGAATTTTGAATTTTGAAGATTGTTTTTTGTTTTTGTGTTAGGGCATACGAAGAAGTTGCTATAGAAGCAATCAAGCATGCTTTAAAGGCCCTAAGAAAGCGGCATTTAGTGGAAGAAGGGGCTCATGCCCCTGCTTTGGCTGCCCTCAATAGGCCTTTCGTTTTGCAGGTGCCCTTCTATTCTTCCTAGTTGCTTCTTCTTTTTTTTTGTTCTTTATCGAGTTCGTAATTTGGTTGATTTAGTTTTTTCTATTATGTTTTATGACTTTATTGAGTAATGATTACTTTAAAAAAAGCAATTATTGAGCTGTGCGGAAAGGATCTGCAAGAAGTTACCAACATTAATGAACGTTTTGTATCCAATTTGGCATTTTCATCTGTGTTTTGTTTGTTAGACACGAAAATTATAAGTGCATATCATGTCTAGAGGTGGTTCCGGGATTTAAGTTTTTAGTGTTCAAAATTTAAGATTCTGAGGATTGAACCTTATTATATCTTTGAAGTTTTAGGTTCATATCTACTATTTGTTGCAATTTTCATGGAAATTCATATATAAATTTATTCAATGCGTTGAAAGGACCATAAGCTACATATATCCGCCTCTGACCATGTCGGTAGAATTTCATTGTTTTTTTGTTTTTTTTATCACAGTCATTCATAGTTAGGCTTGAACATTAGTTGATTTCCCTGGTTTTATGTCTGAGTGGGATCATGGGGGACTTCCAAAATTTTCAATTTAGATGTATCTTTCATCTGTTGTTTTATGTGATCTTGTATCGATCTTACTGATTGAACGAACATGAGTTCATTTACCCGAAACTTCCCAAGTTTGAGCTTTAAACAATCATGTATTCTGCTTACACTGGCGCTGGAAAACAACTTGCTTTTGGTAGTGTTTAAAGACCAAGTTACATGTGGATGGACCTTGTTCCCCAATCAGTTATAGGCACCAGCTCCTTGTTGGCAATAAAACAAAATTAAATGAGAAGTTAAAAAATTGAAAATGAACATATAGTGACCATTAATGTTTATGTAAAGAGAGAAAAGAAGATAGAGAAACTCTTGTGAGTTGAGTGATTAATGACATACATGAGAGCTCTTTGTATATGAGTTTGAGCTAATAAATAATACGACTTCCCTAGTTCTTCTGATTCTTAATTATCGTAAGATAACAAAAGATCTCTATGTAATGTTCTTTATGATTTTCTTAACTATGTTCCCTCAAAGAAACTAATCCAGTCATGAGACAAACTGATTTTGCACTGCATGAGACTGGCTTGGCGATGACACAAATTGTGCATACATCAGAATTTACTGGATTTGAGGTGATGCATGCTACCAGCTTGACGACAAAGACTATCATGCTGTCAGCGTAACAGATCATTGTTCAATTCATAGTGTGATAATATGATGTTGAATGGGAAATGTGAGCCATTAATTTGACAGCATAAACTGCTAACTTGAAACCTCAACTCCATGAGCGGAGGACTTCAGGGCCATGGTTTCACCTTTTCAATCATTTTAACGAGATTAATCTCTGGAAGACAGAATTTGATACCAAGTGAAACAAGAAAAGAGAAAAATGTTGTTAATTAGAGTGTTAACAACATATAAGAGGATTCTATATATAGGAGCTTTGAGCTAATCAAATAAGGGAAGTTTTCTAATTCTTTGTGTTCCTTTTGTTAGAACATGATAATGGAAAATGTTTTACGGAGTATTCTTGTCAACTCTCTTGACTTTCAAGATCACTTGGTATGCATGATGTAGAATTTACTTATCGCCCTTAAATCGTGCTTAAGGAATGAGATGCAAGTTGAACTGACCAACTGCAGCTTTCTACATAGAAATTTTAACTACAACCTGTGCATGTGGAATTTTTTGCACTCAGTCACTTCTCTTGTAGCTATACATTGCTGATAAAGTTGTCCGCGTGCTTATGTTGTCCCTATGGTTTTAGGGTTCAGAGTGGAAAGAGAAAGCTGAAAATCTTGAAGTGGAACTTCAACAATGTTACAAAGCTCAAGCACGACTGTCAGAGCAGCTTGTGGTGGAAGTAGCTGAATCCAGAGCATCAAAATCTTTACTTCAGGAGAAGGAAACTCTCATTACTGACCTTCAAAATGAGCTAAATCAAGCAAGGTGTTATTCTCATCCTTCTAAAACATTTGATGTCCTAAATTACACTCTTCCCTTTGCGACAAAAAAGAAGCACGTGAAAAGTAATAAAAGGGCAGAAATAAAGGAATACACTAGGGATTGCTTAGAATTAGCTGGACAAAAACTTCAGTAATATGATCCTTACCAAAAGTTGATTTGGTTTCAAGCTTCTGAATGAACGTTCATGTTTAAGATTATAAAATAGTATCTTAGTTTCCCAATTTAACAAATTAAGTTTACTTTGGATGTCCTAAGATGCGCTCAACTGTTTTACTTTGGTTGCCAGGATGGAGTATAACTGCTCAATTACTTTCATTGATGAGTGTGCTGCAGGGATGAATGTTCACATTTAACTGAACTTCTTGGGGAAAAGACTAAAGCTTTGGAATTGCTTATGGCTGAGCACCAGGACCTTAAAGCACAACTTGAAGCAATGACTCTGAGAGCAAACAATGCTGAGGCAGAAAATAAAACGTTGGTTGACCGATGGATGCTGCAGAAGATGCAGGATGCTGAGCGCCTTAACGAGGTATTGAGTAATTCTCTCTGTTTATCCTTTATGTGCTTTGCTATTTGTGGTTCTTTAATATTTTGAACCTCTGATTGTTCATACAAATTGAGTGTTCATCACGCCTCGATACTGTTAGAGAGCTAAGATGCATATTCTGTTGCAGTAATAAATTGTACTTTAATTACTAATGTATCCCAAATTCAAGAAGCCTGCATTTATTTAGGCTTGTCGTCATGGAGATTTCTCTATGCTTACTATAATCCTCAACCTGCTAAGTTGTTCTTATATCCTTCAACTACTGTCCCCGTTACCCATCCATGTGGCACATTCTTTCTTTTATGATGGTGGTTTTTGTGCCAGCTTTTGCATACCTCGACTACTCCACTAGTATCTGGTACCTCCCACCAGCACAGGTACCGAATAACTCTATCCATCAAGGCTTAAGTAGATGGGAGAAATAATCTAGAGTGTTTATCATTACTGGGATTTGAACTTGTCATGTGGTTTTCACTCACTTCATTGATTGACCACTGGGCCACACTCTTGGATGCTATCCATGTGGCACGCTCTATCTTTTTAAGACTTCAATGATAAAAAACTACTGCTGAAGAAGCGGAAAAAATGATAAAGAACTACGGTAACTTTAGAAGCTTATATTTTAGTATAATCTACTGCCTTTGGGATGTGGACAGATGAATGATATAAAGCCACCCTAAGATAAAGGAGTATCATATTTTATGAATGCTCAAATATTAACAACTTGTGGTTCTCTAAATATTTGGGAAAGAAAGCGCCCATACTGAAACTACAGATTCTCAATATTTTACTTTCCCTCATGCTGGAGTGGTTGGTGGTGATCGGTGTAGGACTTCATTACTTGGGTATCTCCAGTATCTTCGTCTCATAATACTAATTTCATGTCGGTATAATGCAAAGTTTCTGAGATCTGGAAATGAACTGTTAATGAGGGTTATTATTGGTTTGTCAACATGTATCTTTTGCCTTTTAATTAGTGGTGGCAAATGGGCGGGTTGGGTCAAATTTGGGCGGGTTGAAAATGGGTCAACACAAAATGAGTAAAAATTCAACCCGCCCATATATGATATGGGTAAAAATTGTTTGGGTAATAAATGGGTTGGGGAAAATACTAGTTTTTGCATATTTACCTATATTTTCATATATAAATAGTACTTTACTTAAGAATTTCAATATGGAGAAAATATTTTAGTCTTTTTTTAGATGAAAAATGTTGAAAATGCTTCATTTTGTTTTATTGTATCATAAAAATAAAATAAAAAATCCTATAACTTTTCAATATAAAATAAATTTATGTAATAACAAGGGGAAAATATTTTTTAACTTCAAAGTAAATGAATATTTTCATTTTAGGACTAAAACATGCTTAATGCACTTTAAGCAATGTCAATACTAATACATGATTTGCTTATTTTACACTATTATTTATTATCCAATATAAAATTAAACAAATAAAAAAATATATAATTATAACTAACAAAAGAAATGTACATTTAAAATATATATTTTTGGAGGGCCAAAGACTTCACCTTTTCAATTATAGTGAAAAAATAATAGTTCTATAGAATAACATAAAAAGGAAGAGAAGTTACATTATTTTTAGTGA